GTTTTAGGGTATGTGTTAAGTTACACAATTCAACATTATTTTTAAGTATACAAAATGCTTCAAAAAAGTGTGGCGGTTATAACATATACATTACCGGCCAAAAGTGGAAAAACTTTTTAAATTTATTTGCTGCCGTTTTACAAGAACGAAAATGTTTATAAAGCATATATATTTATACATAGGATAACTGTCTCATAAAAATACACACAAGATTTTTTTGGAAAAAGCCTCTATTAAATTTTGAAAAAATTAAACTAATTTCTATGAGGACAAAAATGGAGAAACTGGTATTTTTTATACATTTGTAGTCGTAGTCTCAGTATGTGGCTGCATAGCCTTTACTTTTGATAACTGCTTGGCACCTTTTGGGCATAGACTCAATCAAGTTCTTTATTACGTCCCCGGATATTTCATTCCAGGCTTGTAATAGGGCAGCGAACAAAACGTCATTATTTTTAAATTTGTCCCTGTTTTTACGCCTAACATCGACTTCTAGTTGATCCCATAGGTTCTCTATAGGGTTCAGGTCGGAGCTTTGAGCTGGCCATTTGATCATTTCAACTTTTTCCTCGGTTAAAAATTCCTTAATAAGTTTGGCAGTGTGTTTCGGATCATTATGGTGCATAAATTTCCAGGTTAATGAGAGAGAGGATTCAGCATAAGGTACCATTGTTTCTTGCAAAATATTTAAATACATATAGCGATCCATAATTCCATTTATTTGAACAAGGGGCCCGACCCCATGCCCAGAAAAATAACTCTAGACTAGAACGTTCCCACCTCCGTGTTTTATGGTGGGTATGGTGTACTTGGGATTGAATCTCTCATTGGCAGGACCGTCTCACCCACCTAATACCATCCGAACCAAAAAGATTGTACTTGCTTTCGTCTGACCAGAGTACATTTTTCCACTGCTTGTAGGTCCAATTTGCATGTTCCAATGCAAATTGTAGTCGGGCCTGCCTATTTTTCTTAGAAATAAACGGCTTTCGGGCAGGTGTTCTGGCATTTCGTTGTGCCTGTTTCAGACGCCGTCTAATGGACCTAACAGATATTGAAATAAAGGGATATTCGTTCCTTATATCCTCCGCAGTGCAAAATGGATTTCTAAGTGAATATCTTATTATTTTCTCTGTCGCCAAAGTTGTTTTTTTTGGGTCTTCCGGGCTTGGGTATACTGGCAGTTGTCCCACGATTTCTATACAAATTAATTTATTTGCACACAACACTTTTATGTAAATTGAAGTGACTAGCAATATCAATTTGTTTAATTCTTGAATGATACTTCTCAGTTATGATTTTTTTATTTGATCTGTCAAATTTATCCCGCGCGGCATATTTTTAACGCTCTGTGAACCCAATACCACGATCTAGACGCTTTAACAAGAGAATATCTCACAGAATGTTAAGAAGAAGATAAGGTTTCTCCACTTATGTCCGCTGGAATTTGTAAATAATTTTTTGCCTGCAAATTTATTCACAAAATAAGCAGTTTTTATATGGCTATACAAAGCAGATTAAATGCGAAATATTTTCTTGATATCCTATTCTGCAGAGAGTAAACTGTATTTTGAAATAGTAAAAATATTAAAAGTTTCTCCACTTTTGGCCGGTACTGTACATATGTCTACAAGCAAATGAGGTCTAACAGATAAAATAAATTTTTAATGCATTATAATGTTATACTGAAGTAATAGTTTTTAGAAGACTTGGAAGAATGGCACCCTCGGTATTTTTTTACTTCTTTGAATAGAAAATAACCCTCTGAATAGAATGACATATCATATGTCAACTTTTGACATTTTCGCATATGGTTTATTTGAAATTATAACTTGCGGTTCGTAACGAAAATTTGACTCGAAATATCAAGAATGTGGTACCAAATTATTCATAAATAAATGCTTTTTCCAAATATGTTAATGAGCCACCCTCGTTCCATTTGAAAAAATTGAGATATGATTAAAAATACGATTTGAGCATTTTCTAACTGGCCAGGACAAGACACTAAAAACATTAGACAGTCAAATCTATTTTTCCAAGGCTCCTTGATTAAGAATTAGTGTTTTTAACATAACCATGGCAGTCATGGCACTCTAGATTAAATTTTAAAATTGAATTTTGTTTTAAGCGAGAATGTCAAAATTTGACATATGATATGTCATGTCATTCTATTCAGAATGTCATTTTCTATCGAATAAAGTAAAAAATACCGAGGGTGCCATTTAAAAATCAAAAGTCGTAGTCATTTCTGGTGAAATAGGAAGTGACCAAAAACAACTGAATACGTCAATCAATCCTAATTTATGTCATATACTAATATACCAAATCTCGTTTTTTATCTGAAAAAATAAAGTTATAGGGTTGAGCCACTTTTGAGACGCACCCGGTATAAGTCAGAAATTAAAAAAATTGGGTTTAATGATCTTTGCTTGTAGACAGACGATATGCTTTTGTTTTATAAAATCTATACCAAAAAAAATTACAATATAAATAAATATATTTTGTACACCCTGTCGGAATGAAACTCAAATTTCTTTACATACCGTCCTGGACACTTCATCTGCGTGGTCTGTATTTTAATAATATTAATATGTAATAATAATATAAAATAAAATAAAATAAATAAATAATAATCTATTAGAGCTGTAGTAAAATGAGTAACTAATTGTAAAAAGTAAAGTTCCAACCCCCAACCCTAAATGCAACATTTTTCATAAACGCCTACATGTGCGGTTTGAAATTTTGATGTCAAATCCGGCAATACCGCATAGAATAGATGTATCAACCCAACTTTTATCTTTTTTTAGTACATTTGATTTTCCATTAAGCTGTCTACATCACTGTCTTAGACGTTACAATCCAGACCATGCAGACCGGATGATGACCAGATCGGTATATCTTTTTTTCCTCTCTATAAAATTCTCCTACCAAAATTGGATAGATCAGAGCCACTAACAATTTATTACCCTACTGAAATCTAACATTTTAAACAAATCAATAATCTTTAATTCTAAAGTGGTACATTGTTTTATACACATTATAGTAAATAATAGTCGGCGGTAGTAGGACTACCACTGAAATGTTACAAATTGAAATATTTAAAAAACGTATACAGGGTGTCCCAATATTCCGTAGACATAGAACTACTACGTATTTTTGGAATCAAAATAAGAACACAATTTACCTCTGTACAAAAGTACTTCGTTTATCCGTTAGAGGGCTTCAGTTAAATAGCCCGTACGTTAATTAATTTAAAAGGATATTGTCAAATATCATTTCTGATATTAACATAACATCCCATATTTTCGCCAACTAGATTATTAGCGCATACCTACTAGATAAACTACTAAAATAAAGACTAGGTAAACTGTGTCAAATATACTTATTTTGATTCGAAAAATACGTAGTAGTCCAGGGTAATCCCAATACTTTGCTTTTAGCTCTTCGATTAGCTTCTGGTTTTCAGCACTATGCGTCTGGCTTATGTGCTGCTGACCATGAATTAACCTGTGCAAAACAGATCTGGCTTCGCCTTGTATGAAAATATGTAGTGGTGGTAAGTTCAACAAGACTTCCATCACATTTGTGGAAGTGGTTTTTATGGCCCCCGTTACACACAGGCACGCAAGCCTGTGTTGAATTGATGCAACAGCTACAAGTTATAGCTCCAACAACAAATTTAATATAACCATACCAGGACTGGAGTAAAGATGTCCCATTCAAGCTGAGGCAACCTGGTATACAGACGCCTTAAAAACGTTAGAACTGGGATAGTAGAGCCGAAACAAGGGAGATTCTTCCACGCAAGCCTATCTAAGGATATCACAATTTTCCAGGCAGAAATAACTGCAATCCACTATTGTGTAGAAGAAATAACAAGGCAACAAAGAACAAATCGTTCTGTGGCCATCTTCACAGACAGCCAAGCAGCGTTAAAGGCACTCGGCTCCGCGGAGGTCAATTTTAGAATAGTGGAACTGTGTGCGTGTTCTGAATACTTTAGGCGAACGTAGCATTATTGCGTTGGCCTGGGTGAAAGGGCACGAGAGTCACAAGGGTAACGAAAAGGCAGATGAAAGGGCCAGGAAAGGCTTATCAATGCCATTCATAGCCCCAGAACCCTTCTGCGGCATTGCAAAGGCGGTCACGAGAATGGCCACAGAACAATGGGTGGCCAACAAATCTCTAGAATAGTGGAGAAACTCACCAGGGCAGAGACAGGCGAAACAGTTCATTGTAGAACACTCACCAAAATTCAAGGTAGACCTGATAAGCAAGGACAGAAAGACAGTCAAAGCTGTAGTAGGTCTACTAACAGGGCATTGTAAGCTGAATAGGTATCTAAAGCTGATGGGACTGACAGACGAAGCTATATGTAGGCTCTGAAGAAGAAACGACAGAACACATTTTATGTCGGTGCGACAGCTTGACAATTGTGCGATTATTGGTAATAGGCAATGATAGGCCAGTGCCAGGGAGCTACATGGAGGGTTCAGTCTCCAAGTTGCTAAACTTTGTGAAAAGGATAGGATTGGAGAATGTAATCTAAGGATCAGAAGACACAATAGATCCTAGAAGGTCGCAGTGGATCAGGCCGAAAGCCACCTATAAGAATCTAATTTAATCCATGTCCAGGGAATATTGGGACACCCTGTATATACATATAAAATAATATGGAGTTTTGCGCAAAATCTAAAAATATAATAAAAATAGGATGTTAAATTTAAATAAATATCCGCCATATTTTACTAAGGCAACAATAGTAGTTTCATTGCCTTCGAGCTTCCAAGAGGTGAGGACCGATGGCCACTCTAGATAATTATTCTATTTATATAAATAAATTGACCGTTACTGACTGGAGATTGTATTTGTCACTCTTCATTCAGCTATTTTATATATTATATGGCTGCTAAGGTATGATTACTACTTATAATAAGGACTAAGATTTTATTATTGAAAAAATTCAATAAGTAGGGAAAAATAATATGAAAAATACTTACTTATACAGCGTGTAAGTCGGTGCTGTAGAGATACTACTGACGATAAGTACTGATATGACCAATCCGTAGATGGCAATGATACCAGCCATGACAACTGGGATAATACATTTCATTATGAGCTCCGGTCTCATCACCGACATGGCGGCAATACCGGTACCTGACTTGGCGGTTCCATAGGCTGCACCAAGTGCTAAAAATACAGATTTATTAATTAAATAACCATTCAAATTAGACGGAATTAGCTAAAAAAAATCAAGAGATTTTGAAATTGTAATTTGTCAGAACTAGAGTTGAAATTATTGACTTCAATATACAACAAGAACTTGGATATAGATAGAACATTGTTAGTATCTGTCATAAAATATGATTCGCTTATAATTATATTTTGTAAATCCGTTGTATTTTATGTGACTGGTATGTACTACGGTACTACTTTTCAAACGCAAAATAATACTATACCAGGTGCGCATCGAAAGTGGCTCATCTCTATAACTTTTTTTTATTTTTTCAGATAAAAAAACTAGATTTGGTATGTTTGTGTATGACATAAATTAGGACTGATTGACGTACTCAATTGTTTTTGGTCACTTCTTGTTTCACCGGAAATGACTACAACTACAACTTATGATTTTTAAATGGCACCCTCGGTTTATTTTTACTTTATTCGATAGAAAATGACACTCTGAATAGAATGACATATCACATGTCAACTTTTGACATTTTCACTTAAAAAAATATTGTATTTTAAACTTCAATCTAGAGTGCCATGGCTGTGTTAAAAACACAAATTTTTAATCAATGAGCCTTGAAAAAATAGATTTGATCGTCTAATGTTTTTCGTGTCTTGTCCTGACCGGTTGAAAGATGCTCAAATCGTATTTTTAATCATATCTCATTTTTTTCAAATGGAACAAGAGTGGTTCATTAGCCTATTTGGAAAAGCATTTTTTTACAAATAATTTGGTACCACACACTTGGTATTTCGAGTCAAATTGTCGTTATGAACTGCATGTTACAATTTCAAATAAACCATATGCGAAAATGTCAAAAGTTGACATGTGATATATCCTTCTATTCGGAGGGTCATGTTCTATCGAATAATGTAAAAAAATACCGACAACGTCATTTAAAAATCAAAATTTGTAGTTATTTCCGGTGAACAGGAAGTGATCGAAAACAATTGAATACGTCAATCGATCCTAATTTATGTTATATACTAACATACCAAATCTTGTTTTTTTATATAAAAAAATAAAAAGTTATAGAGGTGAGTCACTTTTGCGACGCACCCCGTATTCACAGTTTCATTCAATCATTGCTATATCATGCTGTAATATTTCTCTGAATTCATTATACCATGATGAATTATGAATATAACTGGTTTCAAATCTTTATTGTTTCTATAATTATTTAAGAGTGGCGATTTGATTTTTTACACTGGGGATCTTAATTAATCTATATAGAATTAATTGGATAGACGACAGTAATTCTGTATCATTTGACAAATGTCAAAGTCAAATGTCGTATAAAATACTTCGCTCTCTGCACTGGACTGACTATAGTTACTATTAAGACTACTGTGCCACAAATATATATCAACACTGAGACAAAGTTAAAACAAAATGATAATTATTCTCTGCTACACACTTATGATTTATGATAAATTATTTCAAATATTTAGGGTTTACCATTATCCAGCTTAGAATATAAACATATAGTTTTAGATGTTAATTGTAAAAAATTATCAGACATAATATATTAGAAATCAAAATGTTGTCTATAATCAAGAGTTCGACACATTCTTGCTAGTCAAACGCAGAAAATGTAGTAATATAAAAATATTAGTAGCTGATATTAAAATGTGTTAAATCAATTTTAATAAAAGCAAGCTTATGATCAATAATTGTCAGTTGAAATAGATACAGAAAATGTGATGAATTCAACATTTATGTTGAAGTAATAGATTAGCTTAAAAATTACGGCTTCATAATCTGCTAGGCTTCTTCCAATGCGCAAGGAAACATTTTTCATTGTTACTTCGAACAATATGAATATTACAAACGCATAAATTACGGTAGAAATGTAATTATTTCATTTCTAAATTTCGTTGGACCAGAGAAAGGTTCCAAAAATGTTTTCGAGGTTAGACGGATCACCAGCCAAAAAAAAAACAACGCAAAAGTGAAAATCTTCCAATTTAATATCGGAAATGATGATTTCCTCAAAATACCCTCAAAAAACCGTTAATAGTTATATAATTTGCTGTATAAATATCGGTCGCGTTTTGATAACCCGCACAGTGTGTGGTCACTACAAAACATTTACAACTGTGTAGGCAAAAAACGAGATGTGTCCAAGAATTTCGAAAACTTAGCGGGCTAGACCGTCGCTATAGACGTTTGGCGCCGCTCCAATAATATTTAAGATAATTACGAATCCCTACAGTCTTAAAAGAGACACTGATAATAACTTAATAACACATGTATGGTCTTTTTCTCGGTGTATGAAATAAATTAATGAATCGAAATAAAATATAGTGATAGTTCAACGTCCAATAAATTTGCAGAGACGTGTGTTTGCCTTGAAATATTTTATTGATTATAGAAATACAAATCTTAAGTCAGTTTTTAACAATCAGCTGTTACTATAAGACCTAGGATATTTTATTCTATAAACTTTGACCTAGGGTAATGTTTTAAGGTTGAACATATCTACTTTTACAAATATAATAATTACAGTTGAGGGTTGGAACCTTTGGTATTACACAGCAAAATAAAAACACTAAATCACCACAATACACCAAAACACTTTTACTTTTACACTGGACGCGCGTTTCGCTAACCATGTTAGCATCATCAGCAGATGATTATAAACTAAAGTACAATCTACAAGTTAAGCGTTTATATACTCGCTCAGTGGGCACCGAGTAATAATAATAATTAAACAAGTCTCAAATTACAGGCAATTTTGATGCATATGAAAGCATCAGAATTAATAAATGTAAAGATAGTATGAACAGAGTCAACGGTCCAATTCCTTCAAGTTCTTTGTTCCTACTACTCTAGTGGCGGAGATCTAACTGTTACGCTCAGTTGGCTCTGACTCGGTTGGCTAGATTTTGCCACGCCCACTCGGTGCCCACTGAGCGAGTATATAAACGCTCAACTTGTAGATTGTACTTTAGTTTATAATCATCTGCTGATGATGCTAACATGGTTAGCGAAACGCGCGTCCAGTGTAAAAGTAAAAGTGTTTTGGTGTATTGTGGTGATTGTCAATCCAGAAGCAGACAGACTCGCCAAAGAGGGGGCCAGGGGAGAGGCTGTGGTAGATGACCCACCACTTCTGACGATCAACACACTGAAGGAAATTATAGGAACTACCATCAAGACCAAGCAGCTAGAGACGTGGCAACACCGTGAGGACTGCGCTACAGCTCGAAGACTATGACCAGTGGTAGATAGCAAAAAGACAAAACTACTAGAGCACAAAAATAAACTAGTACGCATAATTGTAGGCGTCATCACTAACGACCATCCACCACGACTACTGCAGATAATGAGAAGTGGAGAAGAAACCATAGAGCATCTGCTGAGCCACTGTCCGGCACTGGAGTACCGACGCTTTAAAACTTTAGGGCAAGGTTTTTTGGACTAGAGGAGCAGAAGCCAACATCAGCGACATCAGGAACTTTAACGCAAAGAAATAATGAGAGGAAGGTTTGGTACAACAATACAGGGATATCGCAATGGGCCCAAGGCCCCCAAGTGAGGGTTCAAACATAATCCCAAACCCCAGCAACCTAACCAAACAGTTGCTGATAATCAACATGATCAGCAAAACGTGATTAATCTCTGCTGATGATGGTTAACAAAACGCACGTCCAATGTTTAAAGGTATAGTGTTTGGGTGAATCGTGCAAGTGAATAATAACACTCTACATCATAATTAATCACTGTTAATATTTTGGGCAGTTGAATTTAGATTTGGCGGAAGCTTGCGAGTTGAAGTATGTCAAAAACCTCCAACTTCTGCTGATAATATTGCCCAAGTTCACCAAATGGAGCAAGACAATTGTCGGATTAAAGTAACCCAGACGATACCTAAAGATCGCGTTTGTCACGTATTCAGTAAAAATTTGAGCACAAGAAAGCTGTCTACATCTAGTATATTCGAATGAAAATTTCTAACGTTCTGTTGGCGCATTTTAGATGAAATAAATGAGAATTTTGGCGCCGATTAATCACTGTAGACGAAACATGAATAGAATACATTATTACACACAAATGTGCGCTGCTAAAAAATGGCTTCAAAGTAAGTTGATACTGATTGTTTTTCGCGGTGGAGTCCCTAATCGATTATCTTCAGAAAGGTTCAAAAAAACACTACAGCAAAACAGCCTCATCTGTCGAAGGAGAAAGTTTTATTTCGCCAAAAAATGCACCTCTTACACCTCACCGGTTGCCATGGCGAAAATGTGCGACTTAAGAGTTTAAACTGCCAAATCACCCTTTGTAATCGCCAGATTTAGCTCCCAGTCATTTATATTTATTCAGCAAAGAACAAATAAAATAGTAGACAATAAATGAACAAAGCTTTTTGACGAACGGGGAGTCATAACTTAAGTCTTAAGAAAATTAACTATTTAGTTGATAAATACACCTATAGTACTATTTGGACGGTTAGATGAAATAGGAGTAAACATAAAAGAATATAAGACGACCCTTGTAATAAGCTTTCTGGGATACAGTAAAACTTGAACTCAAAATTATTTCTATGTATATTCAGACGTCACTTTCTTCTGATCGTATAGTATATTAATTCCAAACATACTGAGCAAAATATTAGCACAGTTTAAAGAATATAAAATATATATTTTATATTCATTAAACTGTGATATTAGTCCAAGAAAATAAGCCTTTAAATACGAAGTTTTGGCAAAAACTTAAATTTTTGATATAAGTACTTTGAAAGATCTAAAAACGAAGTGTGAAAGATTCTTTTAAATTCACCCCCGAGAAGGGGTGAAATAAATAAATAAAATTATTTTTTCGAAATTTCGGAGAAACGGTAAGGACTAGAAAGAAAAGTTCAAAAAGCTGTAGCGGGTAGGAAGAGTTGAGGAATTTTACATAAAAATGGTCTCTATACTTTTTTGCTGAAATCAAAATTAACCGAGATAGGGTGTCT